GTAAGTCGTAAACATTTTGTACGTGCTCATCTATCATTCGCAAAAACTATGTTTGACTTCACAGTCTTCATTCATCTTGAAAAAGTGTTCGCAGATATAAAAGCGCTGTAGCGAACACTTCGATCGAAGCCGCTGCAAGATTTCGTAGATTTGTAAATTAATACAGGGAGGCCAGCGGAAAACTTTACAAAGTCGTTTGCCACAAATGCATTCTTCAACTTGTTGCCTGTTTATGGATAAGCTGATCAGCAGATTCTACCCAGAAAATCTCTTGAACTTGTTCAGATTTAATGCGGCCGGTTGCACTGGGCTTACAAGCAAACATAGCTTTTGTCCAAAGGTGGCAGTAATGACATTAGTGTAATAAAATTAGACTAATTAAGTTACATTTTGTGGTAATGCGTAATTTAATAAAATAACTTTCTAGGCTGGTAATTTATCAATTTAATGAATTATTTTTAGTCAGTATTTCGAGAAAAATACTCTTTACTTTTGAAATTACTTTTGTCCCAAGTAAGAAAGTTCGTTTGCGAGCTTTAAAAATAATATTCTGCATGGTCAGATGTCGTCAAAGAGACATCAAAGCAAATAAACGACGGCCATCTGAACGCAAAGCCTTGTACGAAAAACTCGACAGACGCACAAAGGCGGGCTAGAAAGGCGAGGGAGAAAAGCTTACGTGTAAAGACATCGCTGGAAGGCCACGGCTCACGTGTCCAGGCAAGACAAATTCACGGCGTTACGTCATCACGATGATACTATACTTCGTTTATCCTTAAGTTGACAGTGCGTTGAGAGCTACGAGCTCACCAGAACCAACCAACAGCCTTCATTTGGTCACCTGACACGACCCTCTCTCTGAGGATGGGTGTTAGCGAGAGCGTGGTTACGTGGCGAAAGCTAGATGTGTGACTGTAACAACGAGCACATGGCTTCCACTGCACAAGGAGAAGGGCACATCAGCAATGAGGTCAACACATCAAGACAGAATTACTCGAAACGAACAGCCTTGTCCTTCGACAGCTCTAATGCTTCAAGAACTGTATTAAATATTGTCAAGAATGACAGGAGTAGAAGCGATGAAAAACTTGTTTCAAAATGAAAGTTTACTGGGGCGAACTTGGGCCAGACAAAATGAAGAACGAGCGTCGAGACAGCATAAAAGCCGGTGGCGATTCGGCGGCGTAACGGCAAGCGAGAGCAAGACTGACTCGAAAAGGTCGCGCGCAGCTCCTTATCTAGTCGGCATCTCGAAACTTCGGCCCAAAAAGGTTCGACCGTCGAGCGTTCAGGGTGAGAATGAACAGGCACTTTCGAGAAAAAGAAAGTAGAACGAAATTATAAAAGTCACGTCCCGAGCAGGAATAAATATGAATCTTCTAGAAATAAGAGTTAAGACGCAGGCGAGCTGGTGAATATTAAGCAACATAATAAAACCGGAAACATGGAAACATGAAGGACACACACCACCCCGTCTCAGACACAGCTAAAATGTTTTATTCACAACACCCTTCCCTTTCTAGTAAACAAACCTCAGTCGACGCGGAACTGAAAACACAGCAATTGCTAGTATTAGCATCGCCGATATCTAATCACAACCTACGAAGGCAACCACAACAAAAAATTGGCACAAGAAAATCTAAAAACTACATCAGCAAAAACGTCCGCACCTGTTTATCAAGAACAACCGAGGGAACGCTAACACAATTCCCTGCTGACGTAATCCTAATGGTCTCCTTCATAACAGATGTAAACGAATCCAATTTTTTGCAGACTATATCTGTCACTTTCCACTCGGGGACGCAATTGTTACACGAATCTAGATGCTTGACTATTTCGGAAATGGGCGATTTTGATAGCACTGCCCTTTTGACCTCTAGAAGCCTTTCATTACCACAACAGCCAGTCTGCCCAACGTAAGAAAAGCAACACGTCATAGGAATATCATAAACGACATCTTTTTTGCACGCTATGGCCGGATCTTTGTTCTTTTTGCCACACTGTCCATCTACTTTCACAAAGGGAGACAACCGACTCAGGCGAAAGTCATTTTTTGAAAACCACTCTAACGCTAAACCGCGCTGCCAAACCTTTCAAATTGTGAGAGATGGCATGAAAAAACGGAAGGCACGCCCACTTCTCTGAGTTCTCTCTATTTTCTTCTCCCTTAATTCCAAGGTCACTCAAAAGTTTCCTTGCAACACTTGAAATAAGGCCTGGGTAATACTCTGACCGAACCAACCACGAGAACTTGACCGAAATGTTGTTACCCAAAAAATGGCCACATGACTTTTCCATGACATTTTTAAGGAGGGATGTCACAACACCCTCGTGACAGTCTTTGGGTGGCAACTTCGGTACGGCAAAATCGGTTTCGGCCCGTCTTTTCAGTAGTGCCAACACAACCACCCAGAAAAAGAAACTTTTAAATCCAGAAACTGAAGAAAGCCCCTATCTGCCCTCTCCGGTGTGAAACAAAGTTCTGGAGCCTAACTTCTGATGAAAGCGATACCTCCATCAACGTTCAGCCCTTCAAAAACAGAAATAAAGATATAATCAACATACCTTCTTACTATCGCGCATCCAGGCGGCACCGACTGATATTTCGCATGTACCCTTTGATCCAAAAATCCAAGGTAAATTTCTGACAAAATGGGAGCCAACGACGACTCGATGCAAACGCCCTGCTTCTGCGCAAAAGTGTGCCCATTCACTTCGATCGCCGTCGATCTAAGGTACAGATCTACCAGAAGGACGCAACTACCTACATCAAAGCCCGTCTGTGACTGAAACCTGACAAGGTGTATTTGGTTGTTCCCTAGCAAGTTAGGACGGAGGCTTGCTTTTTTGGACACTATATGTCTGCGTATTCATTTGGTGCGTCAAGAAGAAGTACGTCGATCCAGCACGTTGTAACCACTTTTCGGCCATCAACAGCAACTGGGCTTCCAAGCATACGATTCTCAGCGCCTACAACTACGTTGAAATCCAACAAAGGAAGGACTTGAGTCAGGTGGGTGACTTAATTTGTACACTTTACAGGGGAGTTGATTTCAATACTTAGTTTGAGCTCGAACTCTGGAACAAACCGAAAAAACAGCAGTTCCGCTCTCCTTGGGCAGAAGAGTCTCGTGTAATTCGCTTTAATTCTATTTATTCATTGCGTCTTACGACGCATCTTGTTACTTGTGAAATAAAATAAACAAATAATCAAACATTCTGTCGGTTTTTTGTTGTTTGGATTATTGCGTGCGCTTTGCTCCTGTGTTATTTCATAAGCTATTCTAACTTATCGTTCAGTAAAGTATCGCGTGATTGATTGTGTCAGTTCTGCCAACCCATCTGAAAATCTGTTAACACATTTCATTGTTTTTCTTGTTCCAGTGTGTGTTGCTTTCCTTTTTTTCTTTTGTATAATGCCAAAAGGTGTATTTGCCCATTTTTATCATAGTCCCATGTGAAACTGACAGTACTTTTAAATAAATTATTAACTAAAAATTCTAGTAAGGGTGGGGATGGGCGGTCAAACAACTGTAACAGGGGCAAAGTAATATGCAAAGTTGTTTTCTTAATTTTGGTGGACGCAACGTGGTTGCTCTGTAACAATTTTGGTATTCAATGCTGCTAGCCAATATGCGAACGTTCTGATTAAAGTCACTTACTGAGTGTTGCGAAACTTATTGTACATGTCCATCTTCAGTTTTACTTTGACCTTACGGTCTTCAACTGGAAAAATAATGTTCGCAGTTAAACTTGCTGTAGTGAACACTGTGATCAAGGCTGCTGCGAGATTTCGTTGATTTAAAAATTGTTATTTAGGAAGGTCAGTCTAGAACTTAACAAAGACGTTAACAGCAAAAGCATACTTCAAGTGAATGTCTGTTTAGTGATCAGCGAGATTCATCTTATAAAGTTGCTGTACTTGGCCGTAATCTTGATTGAATCAATTATTTAAAAAAATATGGATTTTATTCAAGCATTTCTCAAAATCGGCGAACCCGACTTCAAACTTCGAGTTAAGAACTAACCACATGTTTTGATTGCATACTTTCTCATGTAAACCCTCTTTGTGGAAGTGCGTTTATTTTTTTTACATGCATTTTCTGAAAAAAAAAAAAAAGATGATTGAGATGTCTCGTTTATACAAACATTGTGGTTGCTAATAGAGCACAAGTTTCAGCTCGAAAACTTTTACGTCTGAAAGCATCTTCGTCACAAGTTTTCTTTTACCTTGTAATCTTACATTTAGGCTTTTAAAGTGATGTGAAATATCAGCCAGTAATGGACAAACCGCCCACTCAATCAAGGTCAGGGAGTTCCTGCAAGAACTTCGCTCCATAAAAAAATGTTTTTTTTTACAAAGGTAAAAAATAATTGCAAACCTCGTGCATTGCAAAACTCTTGCATTTTTTATTTACCAGATTTCTATGTGGCATTGGACATCACTTTAGTAAGCTTCTATATGAGACCAAAACTGTTGAAACTGACGATGGCGTACAAGCCGTGACTTCGAACAAAATTTATGCTATAAATATCGGAAGACCTTAATCGATTCCCTATGACCTTGACGCACAACAATTGCTGAACGGTAATAAGAAACAAACTCCCAGGTGCACCAATTCAAAGTTAATACGTCCGATAACACCAGGTTTGCAGCTTACCATATTTTGGTGCCATTCGTCCCGGAGGCTGGAGAGAGGGTACGTGTTGATGTGCGTGTGTGAGAGGGAGAGGTGGGAGGACACTTTTTTGGTAGCGTGCTGGGGGCCGAATAATATAGCCTCACGGGCCGGATCTTGTCTGCGGGGCGTCGGTTTCCGACCCCTGCCTTATGCGAATGCGCATGCTCATATTGGTCTGCTCTGGCCAGCGGCGACGCTCAACGCTCGTGAACGCGCTCCAGTGGCTGCCGTCACGTTTAACTGAAGCGCATCTCATCGTGCACCACTTAGGCGGTCTATAGAATTCATTCGGCGCTTTATGCTTTGTCGATGTCGCAGGCCCCTTGGCGAGTGACACCGGCGCCCAGTCCCGATTGGCCGAGCCACGGTGCTGTTCGGTTTGCAGGCTTCAGCACTCGCTACCGGCCTGAACTGAACCTTGTGCTCAGGAACGTCAATTTGAACATCGATCCGTCCGAGAAGGTGTGGAGTGTGCGAGCGCTTCTATACTCCGTTTCAACATAATTTGGCAAAGGAAAGTTACGGCACACGTAAGCCAATCAGAGCGACAGAGTGAAGCACGTGACAACTCTGCATAGAGGGAGTGCATTTCGATGGTGCGTACAATCTTACGTGAAATCCAGCTCCTCATTTGCCAAGTTATGCTGAAACAAACTATAGCCGGAGTCTTCGAAGTTCATTATTTTTTGCTCCGTCATTCTGATTGATATTCTCAATTGCTCCTTGATATACAGGGTAACACTAGACATTGTAGGGGTTCCCATGACCGATAACTTTTTTTTAAGCAAGCAACAACAAAATACAACTCTACTTAGGCAATAGAAAAGCACGGCTCAATTATTTTTTTTCTTTTTGGCAGCTCTGTTTACGTAATGGGCGTCTGAGAAAAGAAAACAAAAGTTTGTACGTACAATGGCGGCACTGCAGTGTTCGCAATTCCACTCGGAGTGCGAAATGTGCGATTTTACGGCTGTATCAAGGTCAACTCCAGGTTCGGACACGAAACCGCTAGGAGTTCAATAAAAGTATGTATAAAAGAAGCCCATTGTTTCAGGTGGCCCTTGTGGGACGCACGGGGTCCGGCAAGTCGTCGCTGACGCTGTCGCTGTTCCGCATATTGGAAGCCGCCACGGGAAACATCTTCATCGACGACGTCGACATCTCGGCGCTGGGGTTGCACGACCTGCGCACCAAGCTCACCATCATCCCACAGGTGCGAGGCGCTCGAGTTCCAAGTTCCAACCTCAAACGGCAGGATTATTGTCACCGCCTGACCGCGTCTTTTTGCGCACGAGAAGGGAGGCATAGGAAAGCGGGAGTAGTCTCTCTGTGCGTGAAAGAGAGGGCGCGAAAAGACAAGAGGGAGGGATCAGGTGTGCAACAAAACTCTAACCCAGTAGACGCTATTCTATTTGGTGGGTAGCAAACAACATCTTGGTCATGAGTTATTCGTTCTTTGTAGTGCGTCTGCATAGCTGTTAGTCGACAAAAATAACATATCCTTCGTTCTTGAAGCAGTAGAAAGGGCAAGGCAGCCAAGTAAAATCCGCTGCTCACCGCCTTTTACTCCTGACACAACTGCACCCTCTGCACAAGGAGCAGACGACAGTCTCGCTCGCTTTGAATGGAGGATACTGGGTAGACATAAAGTAGGAAGCCTTTTTATCTACACGCTATGTCCTTTAATCAAATCTCGGCGCTGTGACGTGACTGTACATCTATCCAAGGAGCAGACGAACTTGCTCCCCGTATAGCCTGTTGCAACAAACAAACTGCACGGTAAGCTTCGTCCCCGAATGCTCACGAAGAAATGACGTCCCTAAAATTCTCAGTACGAATGCACAATTATTTGTTTTTCTTTCATGACTGAGGCCCACAGACAGAAAACTCCACTGCATGGAAGTGTTCCCAATGCGCCTATGTGTATTGGGCAGTGAGCGGGGGTTCCCTTTAGTGAGCAAGTCCTCTCTTGCAGTTCGTAATAACTTCAGCCGTAGCACTGCACTATGTTGCGACATGGAAGCTGCAAGAGAAGGGACCACTCTTTGCTGCGATCTAAACTGTATTCATGATGCGATATTTTTATTTGCTTTCAAAATGATCGCTGGAATCAAGTATTGGCAGTCATGGATTTACAGCCCTTGCACGCATTTTCGCTTGTTGAATAAAAAAAAAATACAAGAAACTAGTTTTGAAGACATCGATCCTTTCTGTTGCGAGAGCAAGAACCGGAGGTATTTCGTTTGTGCGAACCCTTTTGCACTGTTCATGTACTAGGAGAAAAATATTCAATTTTGGCTCACTGCCTTTGTGCTGAAGAAGGCGGGCGGTGTGCTTGGCAGGACCCTGTGCTGTTCGCGGGATCGTTGCGCATGAACCTGGACCCAAATGAGGAGTATAGCGACGAGCAGGTGTGGGCGGCACTGGAGAAGGCGCACCTCAAGCGCTTCTTCCAGAACAAGCCGGGGAACATCTCCTTCCTCGTGGAGGAGGAGGGACAAAACCTCAGGTGAGAAAAGGAACGTTCCCTTGAGCGGGCAGAGATAAAACAAACCCTCAAACTTGACTTTTTTCTTTTAATTCACATTGCTATTACCGGCCATTATAACCATTAATATTATCATCATCACCTTCACCACTTTCGCTATCGAGAATGGAGACCATAAGGTTGGCGACTGGCCGGACTAACCTGAACCAAGAGCTTAAAACGTTTGCTTGTTATATATACCCTGTTGCAGATTAAAAAAGACGAGACAACCGGGATGCATGGATGGATGAGTGCTAACGGTTGTACCCTTTTAACGGGAGGTAGCTTGTGCCACCTAGCTTAAAAACTAAAAACCAACAACTCACCTCGCAAAGGCCTTTTTCGTTGAGCAAAACGAACGCTGAAGAGGAGGCAACTCCACTCGCCCCCTCACCAGCGTTTGATCTACTATAGTGGGTGACAGGTCAAGAAGGAAGTGGAAGCACCCCCCACCTCTCTCCCCTTCGGTAAAGCGGACGCTGGGGAAGAGGCGACCTCCTCTCCACCGTTCGCTCTGCTAAAGTGGAAAGAGATGGGAGGGGCTTCCACTGCCTTCTTGACCTGCCACCGACTATAGCTTGTCCCGCTTTTCTTAACTTGCAGCAGGGTATAGGCTTGTCTGCTTAGTAATAGACCGATGGATGGATAGATGGGTGGATATCGCGCCATTTACCAATTTTCAAATATCCACACCATCTACTGTACTGCGCCTCTAACGCGCGCTCGTTGCTTATTGACGTCCTTTGCCTGCACGTACGCGCCAAAGTGTTCTCAAAGGCAGAGAGCTCGCACTACAGGTGGCAACTCTGCTGTACTTTACCAGTTATCCGAGGTTGCTGTATCTTGGGGCATGCATGCACTCTGATCATGTATTGGACATTATAATGGGTCAGCGTTCGCCGTAGACTCGAGTTCAATTGCGTGCTTCGCGCTAGAAGCATGGCTAGAATATGTCGACCTTCACTGTTAAATGATATATTGATTTCCGACGCTGCAAACGTTGTCGCAGACACTGAACTTAGCGAGCGCGACACGGTTAGCATGAAAAAGCGATCGCTGATTCTTCCTGTGCCTTTTTCTTATTGAAAGGCTGTCATCGCGTATATTGTGGAGAAAAGTGCTCGTTTGGGGCACTAAGTGAAACGGTAAAACTTAATAATCGCAAGTATTTTGTCCGAGTAACATTTGAAAAAGAAGCGATTCCCGGTTCCCGCAGTGTACAAATAACCATAATTGAACGCGAACTGAAAAACTATACGGTTTCGGTCTAAAAACCTTCGCGCCCGTGCAGCGTGGGCCAGCACCAGCTCATCTGTCTGGCCCGAGCGCTCCTGCGCAACACCAAGGTGCTAGTGCTGGACGAGGCCACAGCGTCCGTGGATCCGGACACGGACGGCCTGGTACAGCGCACCATTCGCCGGGACTTCGGCCACTGCACCGTCATCACGGTCGCTCACCGCCTACAGACCATCATGGACGTGGACAGGCAAGACCATTGGCCCTGATTACGGTGGAAGAAGAGAGACGTGTCTGAACGATGCCACCTCGCCATGGAACAAGTGCACGTCGACGATTCGCTCGCATTTCTGCCAAACGCTGGAACGGGATCGCGTCTTGAACTGGTGTGTTAAGCGTCCTCTCCCTCAAGTACTTTAAAAGTGGTCCAGAAGTGACCATAAGTGGCGTCATATAGAAGCCGGCGTGTCATATGCTACCGGATGTCGCGATCCTGGCGGTTGGGGCTAGAACTCCCGGTAAAAAGCACGAGCGAACGCGAGTGTCTGTGTCGCCGCAGAGTCCCAACTCCTGGCTGATGAAGCCACCATGCATGGACAGTCAAGCTTTAGAGAGACCTGCAGAATAACTGGCGTCTGCCACGGGCGTCTGCCACTTTTGTGACGTCATCAGACGGAAATCGAGGGACCACGTTTTCGGACAAGGTGAACACACCAGTCGGAGACGCGTTCCAGACACCATAATACAACTATGAGCCTCGAGGATTCATCCCTATTCACGCACTGGTTTTCAAAGCCGTGCGGCGCGTGACAGTTCTAAACCGTCAGTGCCCCTGCCGGGAAATGCGCGAAGCCCGAGAGAAATTTGGGCCCGCTTTTTGGCCTTGTTCAGACACCCCTCTCTTCTGACCAACACCGTCTATTTTTCGAGCTGATGGGGCCAATCAGACATCGTTAAAATCACACCATCATTGGTATTCATCGTGTCTCTGTACGTGTTGTATCATCGCTGAACCAATCATGAACAGAAAAGGCTTAGTGATTTGCGCTGCATGCTTGATTGGTCCCTATCCCTAGTGGCGTCGGCTGCGTCTGGACTTACAATGAAACGAAGTATAGACCTTTGCATCACTTATCGTCCGGGAGAAAAATTCGGAGTCACTGAGCTGTGTGTGCATGCGGAGGGTCTGATATACCGCACAGCAGAGCTACAGCGCTTCCTCAGAAAACCTTCAACAGCCCAACAGACAAGGATGGCAGTGCGCAGAAGGTGATTTTCGCAAAGGTCTATAGACAACAAAGATTGCTTGAATCAAGTTTTATTCGCCGCTCAAGACAAGACTGTACCGCGCCCGATAACAATTGGCTGTGCTGGTGCCCTATATGCTACACGGCGCCACCCAACGGAACCAAGGGATCAAGACAACGTCGTTTGCTGCGATTGAACAGCGCTGTGCCGCTGGCTGCGAAAAATGACTTGTTAGGACTTGTTTTGGGTAGTACCAACTCGAGCGACTCAAACTGCCCCACATATAGAAGAGTGCCTGCTCTGGCGCGGAACACGATAACGAGGAAAATAGAAAAAAGCGAAAAATGCTAACGCCGTCGAAGCACAGGCCAAAGCTAGGGCGATAAGAGCGTGAACCAAGAAACGCCGTATCACGCGTCCCAAAAAAGCATACAGGGGAAGAAAAAACAAAAACGTCCGAACGCCAGATGTTCTAACGTCACAACTTAGAGATATGAGATGCGTACCCTAGCGGTGGTGGCATGAATCCGGAACTTTCGATTGTCTTGCGGCTTTGAATGTAGCCGATTTTGACGTCAAGAGGTGTTTTTTCCGTTCGTCTGCACTATACAGAAGGAAAAAAATCACGGCGAAGGCGGCAAAATAGTGGGAGTCTCAGCCAGGTGAGCTTGTACTACCCAAAACGAGGGCGCCACAGCTTGTTCAAAGCTTCAGCGCAGGAGGCCCATTCGCAGCAGACGACGTTCTCCCGGTCCCTTGGTCCCGCTTGGTCCCGCCGTGCATAGGGTCCCTGCTGTATTTTTCACGTCACGTATTGCGGGTCATCGCGGGCACCGATTAGACATAACAGTGACGTCAGAGTTCGGCTGGAACTTGTGTTCTCCCTGATTGGACACGAGTCACGGTCGAACGGTGACGCAGCACTCGTGGCCAATCAGCGTCCCGAGATGGCCTTCAGTAGGTGACGTCAACAACTTTGCACTACGGCCTAGCTATCTAGGCGGTGTTAACCCAACTTATACTCCTTTTTATCGTCTTTTTAGGGTGCAAATACAGCTACGTTTTGTTAATATGGACACCTCCGTTTCCCTGGGATAGCGTCCATAATGTGAGGTGTCCAGAATAAAGAGTCAAGAAGGGGGCGTACAGTTCCCCAGTTCGTCCTCGAAAATTGTGCCTACATTGCGGAGTATATATATTAGCAGCGTCCATATTAACGAGGCACGACTGTATCAAATATTAGACAGCTGTGGATCAAATGGGAAGATGAAAATTAAATTGAGAACCAAATTTAATGTTGCTTTTTTAATACGAAGATCTTAAATTTACTATGGGAACCGAGAATAAATAGCTTAATGAGTCGCGAACGGAAATTCTTTTAAGCGAACATAACTATGAAAAGGAAGTTTTATTGCGTCCGAGACATTTCATTTATTTGTGTCTCAGAAAAACTTCCCGCTCGAACGAGTGGGGTGAGGCATAATGTATCACGGCAAGCACAAAGCAACTTGTGCCACTCTTCTTTTAATAAATTTCGTTCGATCTATAATCCTAAACAAGCTTTTCTTGCCATCGGTACAGCAAGGTATGCTCTGCCGCGTCTTTAGCTTCTCCGAGCACACCGATGCAAGGCGGGGAAGCTGACACAGGTGGCCAAGTGCTCGTGAGTCGTGATAACCCACGTCGCGCAAATGAACCGACGCGCGCAGTGAATTACAGGAACGTCCTGTAAGCTCCTCCGTGCCCCCGTTGTGTCGACCACGTAAAACTGAGGATGACGAGAGAGAGAGAGAGAGAAAAAGAAAGGGAGAGGGAAGCGAGGTTGCTCGCCTGCCCCCACCTGCTCGGCTCTGTATCTTCCGCCGCCTCTAATGCTGCCGCCGTCATCTGCCGCAACCAGTCCTGTGCAGGCCGTTCCCGGCTTTCCTTTCGGCGCCACGGACGGTGCATCACGTTTTGCCAAGGGGTCTTTTGTGTTCGCTGCATTGATCGGGATTAACTCGCTCGAGCACGACAAAAAAAAAAAGGTGCTGTTCGTGCAAGGTCAACTCGGTTCTAAATGTCTACTGGACCAAGAGTAGGACGATCTTAGTCCAGCACGCTGTTCACGAACCAGCCCACACGAGGAGCTGGCCAACGCGCAGTTCCCAGAAGGGGTGTGCGCAGATTTGAGTGAAGAGCTTTTTATCTTCGATAACTCTTCGGGGCACCTGCAGTCAAAGCATGATGGAAGGCAACGACCACGTGTAGAAGGTGGAGTTAGCGCGGCGTGCTAAACCGGAGCGCGAGGAGCACGTGCAGTACCAACCAAAGTGAGGATTGGGAACTTACAAAATAACTTACTGTATATGGTTTTTCACAAAACCATAAGTAAGGTTCCGTGTTTTAGGAGGTTTTATTTTTCTTCAAATTTGGGGGTGTTTCTGCGGGGTTTTATTTTTTCACGCAGATTCGGCGTTCTTCTGTGTCGGTAAAGATATTGGCGCTTAAAGGCCCGTCGAAACAGGATACTTCGGAAATTGTGAGTCGACACGACTCTGACATAAGTCGTACGGCAATCCGATACCGTGCGGCTTTTTTATTTTTTTTTTCTTCGGCGAGAGGTGTTTTTTTTTTTTTTTTTTTTTTTTGTCAAATTTCGCCTGCGTCTTTCACGGGGGTTTTCAGCATGCTCATCGCTTGGGTCCGGACAGCCACTAACAAGCTCTGTTGGCTGTCGGTCAATCGCCCAAGGCCTCTGCAGATCCCAAAAACGGGAAAGGGAAAGGCCTTGTTCGAAATCTTACCCAAACAGATCCGATCCACTCCAGCGGGTCGTGTCACGTGATAACACATATAGAGCGACGCTGGACCCAGGTTGGCTTTCGAACGGACAGGCACAAAACCCTTACCCTGGAGCAAGATTGAGTCAATTTTAGAACACGGCCCAGGATACGAGGGCCCGGCAGAACAGATGAACAGCATTGGCAGGTGGTGTGTGGAGTCAAGTCTAACGAGCACCGCGGTCACCGAAAAGCGGAGGAAGCGAGGAGGAAAATCGTGATGTCTGCTTGGTGGTGTGCAAACAGACATCGTACTGCCGGACGCATGAACTTCCACGATATTTGACAGAGTGGTGTCGCCTCACGATTTCTGAAGTGTCCTGTTTGGACACTTCAGAAATCCCAGCCTCTTGTGAACGTGCACGTAATCCGAGTACTTAGACAACGTCCCGGTATCATTAAGAGAAGGAAACGAGATGAGGAACTCGCGATTCCCAAGAAAGTTGTACAGTAGTTTCGCGGTCAGTTCAATGAGGGCGTTCTGTTCACGGTTAACACAAAATCAAATTGTACATAAAATCCGATTTGATAAAACTGTCTCGGAAGTTATCTTTCGGGGTTTATAGGTATTTACCGAGAACACGGAGCTCTGCAGCTATAAGTTGTCTTACCCCTGTAGCCCTTTACCCTCTATTGCTGATGTCGGTGGATCCACGCCGCTGCGGCTAACTTTGGTCAGCGTGTCACGCAAAGCGCAACGCGACGACACCACGACGGACGCGTTTTTGTGCCATTTTGAGGCGCCTTTCTCCAGGCTCAGCGTGTTTGCCGCTTGGGTCGGGTGACGTCATGAATGATGACGTCATGCGCAAGCCTTCTCGACTATTGTCGGCGCGCCTCCCACCTCTTTCCACTTTAACAGAGCGAAAGCTGGAGAGGAGGAGACCTCCTCCTCTCCAGATTGCGTGGTGTCAAAGTGAAAAGAGGTGGGAGGAGCTTCCACTTTACCCTTAGCATGTTACGACTTTATGGGTAACATTAAACTGCCCCATATGGGAGCAGCCTATAACTATAGGCCGTATACTTTCCGGTGTTTATTTATGTCAGAAATAGGCGGTTGCTTTACGGAGTATATTTATTTCCAAAATACCGGAGCATTTCGGTGAACTGTATCAAAGCTAGTCATGACCAAGCATGACTAGTTTCGGGTGGGTGCCGATGGGTGATGCAGGAATTTTAGCCTTTTTATGCTGTTTTTTACGATTTTTACGATGTGTATTTTTATCTTCCTAACTTGTTTGTGTTGTTGCCGGTAATATATACCGAGCTGCAGCGGAAATAAAGTTCAGTTGTAAGTAGCGCTGTGTCTGTGTCTCCTTCTGTGTCCGTTGTCGTGTCGCGCTTTTTAATCATTATGTCTCAAAGCGCCTTTTATCGACGGAAAAAATCGCGAAAAGGAACGAACAATCAAGACGAAAACGGTACTATTTTTATTCACATCTGATGCACAATGTTCTTCACACCTAATTATTGTAATATATACTTCGACCCAAGCAATAAGACAGACACTTCAAACCACCCGACTAGGGTTCATAAAGAAGGAGGGCAACATTCAACGGGGTAACCCACAAAAGGGCAAATGAGGCCAAACTTTGGAGACATAAACTGGAGACCGAACTAACCAACACTGACATAAAAAAAAATATCTGGATTACTAACAGACCTTGGGCGACCTCTGCTGACACACAACCCAAAATAACAACCGCAAATAAGAAAAAAAAACGAGTTTTGATGAAGCAAAAAAACAAAAAAACTGACGCTCGTACGAAAATATTAAAAAAACGGTATTTTTCGATTTTAACCGATTTTTTTTTTTTTTTTCGACAGTGGCGGGGGTTAATTAGCGTTTTTCGGTTAGAACTGGAAAGTACACGGCCTGCCTCTAACCAGACCCTAATCTTGCGTGTTGTGCAGGATCGTGATGATGAGGGACGGCGAAATCGTGGAGGTCGGGTCGCCCGAAAAGCTGTTACGCGACCGTGAGTCCGCCTTCCACGCCATGGCCCGGGAGGCTGGACTTACCAGGACGGAATCCGACGCTGCCTCGGGAACCACCGTCGTCCTAGACGCCTGACGACGACGCCTTGTTGGAGGCGTAAAACAAGCTATTGAAAAATCACTTCTTTTTTTTTAAGTATGTTTTTTAGCAGTGCAGCTGCATGTATACGTGTTCGGACGAAACTCGTTTGAAAATGTAAATAAAAGTAGCAATTAGGAAGATAGACAAATAGCACCGTTCTTCAGCCCACGTAGAGGAGGTTGCAAGCCAATGAACGGTGCGGACGTTTACTTTGAACGAGAAGTTGTTCTGAAGTTAGTGATCAGATGACAAAATCCATGGCCGGGTTTAGTAATTTTGGGGCCTTGAGCCAAGGCTGTTGGTGAAGCACCTAATGATGATAATATTTTTGACTATGATGATGATGGGGGTGGTGGTGGTAGCGACAAGGAATATGTAAATTTCACCCCCTTGTAAAATACAAATGTCGCGGATAGAAAGAGATCAACAAGCGCAAAACTGAAAGTAAAGGTTTAATCGGGGAACTTGTGCCAGAAACAGAAGAAAAAACGAGCATCGACGCATCGGCGTGACAGCTGGCTTCAGCAAGACTGACCCGGCAAAGTCATGTTCCTCCGCATCATTTACACTCGGGTAAAAGTAAACTCGAATCTTTTACAAGTATGAAAAGCGTTCCTCCTCGGTCATGCACGCGGCAATATCGTTTATTTTATGATACATCTTGGGCGGTTTCTGTATCGGTATATTCGCGATGCTTAGGAAATTCAGGTTTTGCTAGATGGAAATGAAGCAGAGGCAGTTGTAGATTAGAGGCTGCTTTTGTAAATAGTCGATCGTTCTAGCGCTTCTACAGTGTAATTTTGAGGTATAAAACTCAAAGCAATTGACGATTGAGGAAAACGTTAACAGGTGTCGCGCATAGTGAGCAGCCCCATGGTAAGGCCTCGTAAACTTAATCTGAAAAGGTTAACTCTGTGTTCCGGTGAATTGTGTCTGTGCCGGCTTACATAAATTCATCATAATGCTGAGCTAGAGAGGAGGCACATCTGTCGAGTAACATGATTACTCAGGCACAACTTGCATAACGCAGTAACCAAAACGACACTCGCAAAAATTCGCATAAGAAAAAACAAATTGCTTCCCCTGGACACATGCCTCGCAACTCGAAAACTCCCAAAAATCTCGTTTCTTTTTTTGTATAATTGTTTTGACTGTTTGGAGCTTGTCTAGCAATCCCTTTCCTAATTAATTACTGACGTGAACAGTAAAGAAACAGGCAACAAGTATATTTCGGTGGGTACCGGAGTCCACCCCCTTCTAATAACTGGACCGTCGGTCACAAACTGAGAGACTTCTGCATTCAAATAATATAATTAATGCAATTGAAATGTAGCAACCTCTTCCATTTGGGCACATGTCAAGAAGATCGAAGAGATAATTTCAAACTCTCCCCCTCTTTACATGCTGTCTGTTAAGTTTTGGGAGTGGTTTCTTTTCATTCCAGTAATTTAAATGTTCGCCGCCATTAAGACGTATTACTCTGTGCTAAAACTATGAGTCATACGTCAGAGGTTCGATGCAGCGCTCAGATTATTCGATAGAAGAGAAAAAATGTTTTTGTTCATACGCCTCGGATATTCACACTTAAAAGGGGTGGTGTAACAAATAAAATTGTTTTTGTTCTTTTTTTCACTTTACACGAGCTTACTGGAGCTAGTGCGACTCAACGATACTCGCATGCAACGCCACTGGACAAGACACTCCTTTGCTGCGGTGCGATTTCATGGACAAAAGCGAGCGTTTTCATTCAATCTCTCCTTCGCAAAACTTGATAACGTGGCTGGGCGGTCGCAGTACCGCCCTGTGACGATATTTGAATGCGGCTCATAGATTTGACCCGAGCATTGCGTGGGCTTTAGATTTGGGCTCGTTATACTTACTAGCTCGAGAAGCATTCGGGTTGGGGGCCCGTGTCCAATCGCTGCAACGACGACCAATAGCCGAACCATAACAATGTCTGGAACTCGGCGCGTGTCCTCTGCCTTGCCAACCCCAGCGCGTGGCTATGATCAACGTGACGCGACAGCAATTAGGTTGCTTCAACTTGCTCCTCCGCTCTCTATTTAAAAATGAATTACTTGTGTGGCGGAGGATTAAAAATTCCGAGATTGTGAGGATGATATTCTCAAAAGCAATGACAATATAATTTAACTGTTTTCTGAATGACAAACTTTTACCGGACAATCCCTCTAAGAATCGACGTTTATCAGCTTTTTTTCTTCGGCCTCCCCCCATTTTCCTGTTAATGGAAAAATTAACTATTTGATTTGATTTGATTTGATGTTAAGAATTTTTCTATAACAATTTATTTTGCCCTTTATGAAGCAAAATAAATTGGCTGATATTCACACGAACTTTGACTTAGTATAGTTACAAACACAAAGCAGAAATACGACTGAAAAACTTTCAGCCTTTCCACTCTGGTGAAGAAGGAAGAGCAGTGGAGCTGTACTATGTGCCGCAATCTATGAGCGCCGGCGGCAACCAGACAACCAGCAAGCCGGTTGTCTGGTTGTCGCCGTCGCTATAGATGGCGGTAGCTGTCCAGAGTGTCGTGTCGACATTCAGTTGTCCAGCTCCGCTGTAGAAGTTTTGACAAGCAGAGGCAATGTCTTATAGGGATACTTCAACGAAGCAGGGCATCTGGACGCCGCCATGTCTCTGCTCGTGCTGGCAAGGGCGTGCAATTACAAGCTTGCCAAAGCTACGTTCACGCGCGCGCTGCATATGCTTGCGCGCATGGAGGGTCAGTGAGCCGCCATGCTTGCAATTGTCTATATCCGTCGTGTTCAAAAATAGGTTAAATATGATCCACGATATCCGTAAATGACAATCGCATGTTTGTACTTCGAACCTGGTGGCTTTTTTTTCTTTTTTTTTAACGGCCTTTTTGGGTAGGCGCTTAGAGAAGGCCAAGCTTAGAGCACGTGACATCCGACGCAATCGTGACGTAGTTCGTCTCGGGACGAGCAAAGCTACGGCGAGGCTGATGTCGAGAGCATGGCCTAGTCGTTCCAGCCACCGAAACGGCTGCTTTTGTATGAATTTTGAGTGGCGGGTTGATCTTCAATAATCTTGTAGAGGGACAATAGCGACTTCTGGGACACAAAAAAAAAAAAAAAAAAGATTCTCGTGAAGAGGGGAGTTCCTCCTTCCCCTCCTCTCGTCGTGGCCGGAGGCGAGACAGTTGCCGTCACTACCTCTCAAGGTTCCTAGACGGGCATTAGAAACGAGGCGTTAACGACATCCACCAGGTGCTCTTGGCTAATCGTTTAATTCGTTTTAAAATTCCTTTTCGTGTCTTTTTTTAACAAGATAATGGTGTGTCCGATGTGATACTGCTCCTTTTAACACATATAGAACACACATAGACCATAAAGTAAGCTCCGAAATTTCGTTGTAGTATCCCTTTAACGCCAGGTAGTAAAAGAGCAGCAAGCATCGGTGCTTGGTCTGGACAAAAGTTAATGGAAAAGTCAACATTGCTGTGATAAAATCTATACAAGGTGTTTAATTTTAATTCGAACATACTCCTTCAAACATGAGGGGATAATCGTCATGGTAAGGTAACCAATTAACTAAAGACTTAATTAACTTCACATATAATGATTTTAGGGGTCATGTTCGAATTGCAGTATTCATGGCAATTACTATTAGAATTGAACCAAATTTAAATAATTTGCGAAAAGATAATGATTTTCTAGACATCAATCAATCGATTTTTGCATTTTTTCTCGTGATTTATAAATTGCGCTCAAAAAGTGTTGCAAGCCCTAACCACAATGACGCTTAGAAGAATGATGTCGTAATATCAATCATGTCGTCACTATCTCGGCAGCTGGGTGCGCCGACGACACAAGTGACGACGTGACCTAAACGACTACTACAGTGCTACGTCACCCTCCTAAGCGCCATCGTGGCCTGTGTTTGATAAGCTCTTTTTGCAAGCAATTTTTGAATCCGTTGAAAAACACGAAATTCATCAATTAATATCTTAGAAACCATTACCTTTTAAACAATTCTTTAAATTGGTCTGGCCTCTAATCGGGCGAGACCAATGGCCATATGGGAAATGTAGACCGCCATCCAGTAGCGCGCCGAGAACTACGTCCGCCATCTTGTTAGCGGCGAGAAAACGAAACCAAAGACCCGACCAGCAAAGACCCCATGTAAACAAGCGACCGCGCTTCGTACGAGAGATACGATGCCAACGATTGCTGCGTTCCGCTGCGGATGCAGCGATAAACCTTCGATTCGTGCGTGACGTGAACGCAAACGTGAACAGGGTTCACCTTTTAGAACGCTGCTCTTAGGCGCCCGTTTCCGGCTTGAGCGGTGTCGGCGTCGGCGTAACTGCGAGCACCCCCCCCCCCCCCCCCCCCCGAGGACCTCGGGATGACCTCGGGTTCCTTCGCAGACCTCGGGGAGGGGGGGTCACGTGACCACCCCTCCCCGAGAACACGTGATCCCCCCCCCCCCCCCCCGAGGTCACACGACCCCCCCCCCCCCCCTTCAGTACCCTTCCCTTCTCTTCCTCAAGAGGTGAGCTCTAATTCGGCGTTACAGGGAGTTGTAAACGGCTTTCACTTTTAGAGCGCAGCTCTTAGGGTCCCGTTTCCGGCTTGAGCGGCGTCGCCGTCGGCGTAACCGCGAGGTCACGTGACCCCCTCTCCCCCGAGGTAAAGTGACCCCAAGGTCACGTGACCGACCCCCCACAGAGGTCACGTGACCCCCCTGACGTCACACTGCGGCCCTGAGGTCGCGTGACCTCAAGGAGTCACCTATCCCTCAGGTACGCTTCCATCCTCTTCCTCAAGAGCTGCGCTCTAACCGGCGTTACAGGGAATTGTAAACGGTTTTCTTTTTTTCCCCTTATTTTTATGTTACTTGAGACGCAGCTTTTGACAAACAGATAACGTCCGCATGTTTGAAGAAACATGCGGACGTTATCGCGTGGCGTGAAGCCATTTACAACTAACGAACTGTGCCCTAATCTTTTCACGAAGTTGCACCAAATTTGTTTGACCTTCTTTTTTCTTTTATGTGCGTGGTAGTGTCGGCCTGTCTTTTTTTTATGCGCAAGCAGCTCAATGCATGCGGACGAGACCAAGGCTGTTAAGCGAGGCAAAAAGATGGCAGTTTTAATAATCTAAGCCCCGAACCATGATTGAAGATACGTAC